CCCAGCCACGCGCCGCCCAGGCTGGCCACCCCCAGCACGGCGGCCCGGGCAAGCTGCCCCAGCATCAAGGGCCCTTGGCCCGTTTCCCCCCTGCCCCCCGGGGAGGGGGGGGCTCGAGCCAGGAAAAACTACGGATCGGTGTTGACGGCGTGTTTCGGTCTTCAGCATATCATTAATCAGCAAGCTTATACAAATATACATCAACAGCGATACTCACATCTACACCTACATATACACCTACATCTACACCTACATCTACATCTACACCTACACCTACACCTGCATCCACATCTACACCTACACCTACATCTACATCTACATCTACACGTTCGCATTTGTTTTGTGACTACTTTGCATTGCATTTGCTGTTGCTCTTGCCTTTGCTGTTGATTTTGCCTTTGCTCTTGCGTTTGCTTTTGCTGTTGCTCTTGCTTTGTTTTTGATCTTGCTGTTGCTTAGTTTTGCTTTTGCTTTGCCAACGCACTGACACACACACACGCATGTTTTTGCATTCGCTCACCAGGTGTGCTTGAGAATGCTCCGGGTCCGGCCTACACCGCACGACCTGGCATTGAGCAAGGTTGTGGAACACTTGCTACACCGAACGTTCCTACGAAACTGTACAGCAGCAACAACTCCCAGATCGGTGCAACAAGCTGTTCAGCATTGTTTCGGCGGGCATAATCGGCGCTGGAATATGCGGTTTCACCCGAGTGGTGTGAAGGGCTCAAGCTGCCCCACTAAGGACTCAAGATGGCCCACAGACGGACAACATGCATGGAACATACGTGCGCACACACACACATATATATATAAGTACACACATATAGCAGCAATAGTGGATGCTGTGCTGCGCTATGCTATGCTATTCTATGATATGCTCTGCTCTGCTATGCTTAAGCTATGCAATGCTATGCTATGCAATGCTATGCTGGGCTAGGCTAGGCTAGGCTAGGCTATGCTATGCTATGCTGCGCCATGCTATGCTGCGCTATGCTATGCTATGATATGCTATGCTATGCTATGCTATGCTTGTGCTTTGCCTTCGCTTTTGCCTTCACTTTTGCCATTGCTTTTGCTTTTGTTTGACACCCAGGGAGCGCAACTGAGGGAACCGCGCGTTTGCTTCTACCTTTGCTGTTGCTTTTGCTTGGCTCCCAGGGGACTGGGGGAACCGCCCGGGGCGGTTTGCACTGCCCGGCCCCTTTAAGCCAAGCGAGTAAGAACCCTTCTAGGCAGAGCCTAGGTAGGGAAATACTAGAAAAATGCTCAAACATGTCACAAAGTATCCCAGTGCGACCCTACCTAGGAGTTGGAACCCCTAGGAAAGCAGCATTAGTAGTAACAGTAACGCTAAGCTAAAGCTAAGCTAAAGCTAAGCTAAAGCTAAGCTAAAGCTAAGCCACAGCTAAGCTGAAGCTAAGCTAAAACTAAGCTAAAGCTAAGCTAAAGCTGAGCTAAAGCTAAGCTAAAGCTGAGCTAAAGCTGAGCTAAAGCTGAGCTAAAGCTGAGCTAAAGCTAAGCTACAGCTAAGCTAAAGCTAAGCTAAAGCTAAGCTAAAGCTAAGCTAAAGCTAAGCTAAAGCTAAGCTAAAGCTAAGCTAAAGCTACGCTAAAGCTAAGCTCCAGCTAAGCTCCAGCTGAGCTAAAGCGAAGCTAAAGCTAAGCTAAAGCTAAGCTAAAGCTAAGCTAAGCGCTAAGCGAAAAGCTAAGCTAAAGCTAAGCTAAAGCTAAGCTACAGCTAAGCTAAAGCTAAGCTAAGCTAAAGCTTAAGCTAAAGCTAAAGCTAAAGCTCCCAGGGGACTGGGGGGGAACCGCTCCCAGGGGACTGGGGGAACCGCCAGGGGCGCTTTGCACTGCCCGGCCCCTTTAAGCTAAGAGAGTAAGAACCCTTCTAGGCAGAGCCTAGGTAGGGAAATAGTCAAAAACATCGCCCCCATACTTTTTGTTTTACTAGTTTTGAATATCCCTCCTGTAGAAGGACGGGCCCGACCGAAGATGAGCCCGATGCGCTTCAAGGCTGCGTTGGAGGCGGTAGATGAGCAGGTGGAAAAGTTCGGCTTGGCAACTGCGGTCTTCTGCACCACCCGCAGGGTGAGCGCCTGACCAACATATTAGATTTTGCAGACGATCTGCTGCTCTTTGCTCCGTCGTTGGAGGATCAAGTGCTCATGCTCGATTGCCTCGCAGAGGAACTCAGCAGAGCCGGCTTGTACGTCAATGCGCGAAGTACGAAGACCTTAACAACATCTGTCAACGCTGCAGCAGACGAGGTCCCGCTCTTCCTCGGCGCAGGCGGTGGGACGGTTGGGGCTGTGAAGCACGTGGGCACGCACAAATACCTTGGGTCGGCTACTGAGCGACAATCTGAGGGTGCGAGGTAAGTGCAACTTGCAGCATCGAATGATAGGCGCTTGGCTCATATACCACCACCAATTAGTGGCGACGCTGCAGAACCGCAGCATTTCGATCACATTGCTGCGGCATCTGTTCGATTCCGTGGATACGCCGTCTGTCCTATACAGTCTGGCCACAATTCCACTCACTCAAAAAGACCTCGACAAGCTGGACGCGCTCCAGAGGGAAATGTTGAGGCGCACTGTTTTGGTGGGTTCGTTTGGAGGAGGAAGTATGGCAGCTTACTGGCCATCGCATGAAGCGCCGGCTGGAGACGGCTCTATCGGGACATCCCATCACAGACTGAAGCATCAGGCGCAACGGTCTGCGAGATTCGCTAGTCCAACAAATAGAGCGCGGATCTATGTTGCAATGGTGTTCTCTGTCGTATGCTGAACGGCCTAGACGAGCGCGCCATCGAGGACGACCACTTCAGAGGTGGACCGATTCAGTCTGCACCTGTCAGTAAGGGGTTCGTCGTGAAGGTCCCCGTGAACGAGATCTGAGAATTGTTTTTCCCTTCTGCTCCCTCCAGCCCCCCCTCCCCCTTCCCCCCCCCCTCCCCCTGCTCCCGCTCCTGCCTGCCCGAGCAGCAATCCATGTATAACGATCGCACAGATGCCCGGGTGCCGGAGCCACGGACCAAGTTTTTTCCCCCGAGGTCTAGATTGGCACGGCCTTCGGGCCGATCGGGAGTTGTTTAGCCGCATGGAGCGGGATGCAGCGAGATTGAGAGGGAGTGTACCCGAGTGTCCCAAAGAAGGCCGGTTCTCATCCACGGACACGCCAGCGCCGAAGATGGATTCAACCTCCCAGGAGCTGCTTCCTAAGATAGGCAAGTACGGGGGCACGGATAGCAATCTGCTAGAAGTGGGGATGAAGCCAAATCCTCTTAAAATCTGTCCCTGGACCCGTGCTGGGATCTATCTGGTGCAATTGTTCACCCTGGACTCGTTTTTGACCGTCCCTGGGGCCATGAAGCGACCCCCGGATGCCGAAAAAGTGCGACAACTTCCCCGACCCCAGAACCTCGACACTGCCCGCCCTTCCTGCTGGCCTGAGCCAGTGCTGGGCCACCTCGGACCCCAGCACTCGCTCATCGCTCGGACGCCCATTCCCCGTGCATGTTCGGTTTCGAGCGTGTATGTTTTTTCGTAGGATGAGTCATCTTGCAAAAAAGAGTTCCTCGATGGCCCTCGCCGAACAACAAAATGGCGACGTCCGAGCGATGCCAAGAGCTAGCTCCGAGGTCAAACCCGTGCCTCGGGGGGGGCCCACACAGGCCGAGCTCTCGCTGCTCCGGCGGCAGCTCGCGGGGCTGACCACCCGAGGACACGCAGCCCTCCTCCTCCTCCTCCTCCTCCTCCTCCTCCTCCTCCTCCTCCTCACTCCGCCTCCTCCTCCTTTTCCACCACCTCCTCCTCCTCCTCCTCCTCCTCCTCCTCCTCCTCCTCCTCCTCCTCCTCCCCCTCCCCCTCCTCCTCCTCCTCCTCCGCCTTAAACTTCTCCTCCACTCCTCCTCCTCCTCCTCCTCCTCCTCACTCCGCCTCCTCCTCCTCCTCCTCCTCCTCCTCTCCTTCCTCCTCCTCCTCCTCCTCCTCCTCCTCCTCCTCCTCCTCCTCCTCCTCCTCACTTCGCCTCCTCCTCGTTTTCCACCTCCTCATCCACCTCCTCTTCCTCCTCCTCCTCCTCCACCTCCTCCTCCTCCTCCTCCTCCTGCTCCTCCTCCTGCTGCTCTTCCCCCTCCTTCTCCTCCTCCTCCTCCTCCTCCTCCTCCTCCTCCTCCTCCTCATACTCGTACTCCTACTCCTACTCCTACTCGTCACTCCTCCAGGGGTATATACGCCGCGGGGGGCGCGCGCGGCACCGCATGCCGAGGGCACCGGGGCGGAGCAGCGGATCCACGGCTGGGAGCAAGCGGGTGCATCTCGGGTCGGGCGAAAGGGGGTGATAGCAAAGGGGGGGGTTGAGAATCAGCTCACGTAGCTGATTTTCAGAAATGGGCCCCTCGGTGAGGCCGAAACCAGCTGCATGCAGCAAATTTCGTACCCCCCCCTTTCCCAATGCCCCCCTTTCGCCCGGCCCGAGTATCCGGGGAGGCACAGGTCGATTAGCGATCGCGACGGGGGACTGCACGGGCGCACTGCGAACGCCAATGCCGAGCGAGCCGTCGCAGAATGCCTCCATCGACTCGTCCGGGTGGGCGTTGCCTCAGGGCCCTGAAAGGCCACATCGCGAGCACTCACGACCAGAGCCCCAGACCCCATCATTCCGCTATATCTTTCGGGCCGGATCGATCTTCGGTGGCAACTCATGGGAGACTCCCATACTATCCTGTCGGCTCTTGCGAATCGACGCTACCGACGCTAAATCGACGCTAGTCGACGCTAAATCGACTCTAACCGACGCTAAATCGGCGCTATCGAATCGACTCCTGACGCCAATCGACGCTAAAGCTGGAATCAAGAGGGTACACCTGGCTCCCATGACTTGCCACCGAACTCGATCTGTGATGATCACGGGGCCCGAAGCCGGGCGAAAGCGCCATGTGCGAACAGAAGTGCAACACCCAGATCTGAAGGGGGCGTGGAAGAGAGCCTCGGCCCCCGATCCTGGGCGGTGGCCCGCAGCCGCCAGTCCTGGAGGTGGCACCGCCGCAGCGCCCACATGCTGCCGCCCCACGCGTCCTTGGGGTTCTCCGTCATCGCCCGCGCCCTGAGGCAGGTGGAATCCAGGCAACACATTTGGAATCACTATGGCCACGCGACCGACATGCAGAAAAGCGAGAGCATTGCCTCTACAGCACAGAGGGAATGCACATTCGGACGCCGCGCGAGGCACGCCCAGGGAAGGCCAGTCAGAGCCACGGGTCTGCGCAAGCACACTTCGGAGGTCCGCGCGGGTATCTCGAGGCTCGGCGGCGGATGCCCCCCTCCCTGGCGCGCCGAGCGCGCCACGGGGGGGCAAGCGCCGATCCAAGACATCCGCGCGGACCTCCGAGAGCTTGCCGGAGGTAGGCTCGGGTCGGGCATGTCCTCCTACAGGCGCGCTTTCGATGAAAACTAAGAAGTAGTCAGACAATAGTCAAACAAAGTCAAGAGAGCACGGAAAATCGTCCCCAGGCTGGTTCTTGCCGTTCTCGAATACTCCTGCTGTAGAGGGACATGCCCGACTTAAAGAAAGACAGAACTCACAGAAATCTCCTCGAGAAGAGGTCCCGGGACCAGACCCGCTGGGCGCAGGCCCAGAAAACTGCGGCCGTCGCATATGACCCTGGGGCACCACAAAAAGGCCGAATTCGCGAATCGACTTGGCAGCGTGGGTGTTCGATCAAACTCCGAGTTCATCAGGGCGACAAGATCGATGTGTTCGGTGGCACCCTCGGGGGCCTCCCATACCATCTTGTCGGCTCTTGCGAATCGACGCGCATCGACGCCAGTCGACGCTAACCGACGCTAAATCGACGCTCAGCGACGCTAACCGACGCTAAATCGACGCTACCTCTAAGAAACTACTCGACGATGGACCGACGACTCCCAGACGCCAGTCGACGCTAATCGACGCTAGAGATGAAATTACGAGGCTATACCAGGCCCCCATGACTGGGGAAACCAAAAGGTATCGATACCGCTACTCCCCAGACCTCTTCCGGGGTGCGTTCTGACCGGGATTTCGAGGCGAATGCGGCGGTGGCAACGAGGACCTCCCAGGAGGCCCAAAAAGGGGGGAACGGGCAAAGGGTAGCGGTATGAGTACCTTTTCTTCCTCCAAATGACTTGCTGCCGAAGAGATCTGTGTGCGTGTGCGCAGGTGTTCTTCTCCGATGAGGGCACCTCCCCGAGCAGTCGCTGCCGTCGGAGCTGCCGTCGGAGGCGCAGTCCGAGCCCGTGGCGGTGGAGGCCGCCGCCAGGGAGGCCGCCGTCGGTTCGCCGTCGCAGTCGCCGAAGGGCATGCGGCCGTGCAGCATGAAGTGCAGGCACAGGCCTCGGAGGAAGAAGAGGAGCCCATGCCGCTACCCTTCGCCCGCTTCCTCCTGTTTCTCGGCGGTGGGCAAGCCTCCCTTTACTAAAACCACCCTTTGGTGAAAACGGCCTGGGACCGAAACCGACGGACCTGGACCCGCAAAAATGACAGCCGCGACGCCCTCCCGCGAACGGGCAACGGCCAATTCCTTAATCGACGTGTCAGGGTAGGAGGTCTATCAACCTCCGATCCTTTTTATAAGAAGGAACAGACAGCCACGCAAACACAAACTTTTGGAGGTCCGCGCGGATGTCTTGGATCCGCGCGGAATCCCCCTCCCTGGCGCGCGGAGCGCGCCAGGGGCGGCGCCGGAGGCGCCGCCGGGGAGGCCCAGGCGCTGATCCGAGAAATTCGCGCGGAGCGGCAAAAAGTTTGCGTGTTTGCCGTTATTTATTCTTCGGTGTTCGCCCTCCTGTCAGGCCCTCGTCGCCACCGCTAAATTCGCCTCGAGATCTTAATTTGTCAGAACGCGCCCCGGGAGAGGTCTGGGGAGTAGCGGTATCGGTACCTTTTGGTCTCCCCAAGGCCGAGGGACCAAACGTCCGCTGGCGACGCGTACGGCATGCTCAGGACCTGTCTGGCGGCGCGCACAAGGGAGTAATGGGGGGGGAGCCTTCTTAGAAGGAGGCTGCCGTTTAGAAGGGGGCGGCCTATGACCGCGCCTTCTAAGAAGCGGCCTCCTTCTAAGAAGCCTTCCCCCTCCCCCTACCCCCTTGTGCGCGTGGCCGACCTCTGGGGCGCAGAACTCCCTCGTTCCGGTCGGGGTCAGGAGTTCGCCTTCCTCGGTGCTCGCGGCAATGTTGAAGTCGATCAGCTTCAGGACGCCCTCTTTCGAGACAAGGCAGTTGGCAGGCTTCAGATCGCGGTGAACCGTGTTCCTGCCATGCAGGTCCGCTCACCCCCATTGCCGGGGGGAGAAGGGGCGTGTCAAATATTTAGTTGTTCCCCTCCCCCTTCTCACTTCCCAGGTTCCCAAACCCGATTAGAGAAGGGAGGGGGGAGGGCCCGAACTCGTCAGCGCACCCTTGGGGCCCTCGGAGAAGGAGGTCCCCAAGACGGGCCGCGAGAACCTCAAAAGGGCCCCATGACGGACCAAGGCTTCGAGACGTCCCACGAGCGCTCCAGGACGCCCAAGATGTCCTCCAGACTGCCAATAAGGTCCCCAAGACACCCCAAAAGCGCTCCAAGAGGCCCCTCAAGAGGCCAAAATCATTGATTTCGAAAACGTTGGAAATACTTTAGCGATATCGCCGTTTCGGGCTTCCGACAGGGCCCCAAGACGGCACACGAGACCCCAAAGACGGCCCAAGGCGGCCCCAAGACGGCGTCAAGAGAGCCCCAAGAAGGGGAACACGAACCAGCAATTCAAGCCCGATGCACCAAGATAGCCCCCGAGACCGCCACCAGGCCCCCGAGTGGCCTCCCAGAAGTCCCAAGAGGGCCCCCTAGATGCCCACGTGAATTGCCAAGACGCCTCGAGAGGCCTCAGAGAGGCCCCCAACTCACCCCAAAACTGCCTACAAAATGACGCAATGAACAAGTATACTTGTAAACATCGTGAGCTGGCTCCCTCCCGCATCCCCACCCGCATGAACCCGCCTGGACAAATTTGGAATGAAGGAAGCCCCAGCGACGACCCCCGACGGACTCACTTGACTCAAAGAGGCTCCAAGAGGGGGACCGCGACAAGGCCCCCAGGACATCAAAAACCTTCCCGTCGTCCTCGTCCTCCTCCTTCTCCTACTTTTTTCTACCACCTGCGTCGTCGCCGTCTTCCATTCCATATTCTTCCTCCTTCTCCCTCATTATCTGGGGGTAGGCGGAATTGCATAAGCATCTTGAATAAGCCAATCCGGCAGCCGCTTGGGCGAACAGGCGCATGGCGCACACCTCGTCCAGACGGCCCGTACAGGAGGAGCGCACAACCGAACGCAGAGTACGGCCCGCGATGTCCTCCAGCACCAGTGCCACACACGATGGCGACTCTAGGAAATTCGACAACCCCTTGAGGTGGCAGCGTGTGAGACCACCCGAAAGGGGTTGGAGGGTCTTCAAGGGGGGGGGACGATGGCAAAGCCGCTCAAAATCAATCCCCAGCCTCCCGGGGTCGAAACTGACCAGATGTTCGAGCCGCAACCAGCCGTGGCGACGAGGGGGCCCCTTTCTCCCCCCTTTCTGCTGACCAAGTTCCAAAGCTAGGCCACATCAGTCCTCCAGCCGGCTCCCACCCCATTCCTCCCACTTTCCCCCAAGGAGTCGAGCTGCGCGTGTCGGGCGGCAACCCCCCTGTGAGCGACAGACAGACGCGCACGCACGCACGCACGCACGCACGCACGCACGCACGCACGCACGCACGCACGCACGCACGCACACACACACACACACACACACACACACACACACACACACACACACACACACACACACACACACACAAACGCACGCACGCACGCACGCACGCACGCACGCACGCACGCACGCACGCACGCACGCACGCACACACACACACACACACACACACACACGCACACACACACACACACACACACACACACACACACACGCACACACATCGCCCTCGCGGTGTCAGGACGCTCGGCCGCGGTCACGGGTAGGCCCCGCCGCTGCATGGCGCGAACGCCCTCCACGGAGCGTATCCGCGGGATTGCGCACAATCGTCGTGCGAACTGCCGTAAGAAGCGCCACAGAAGGAACGAAGAGGCGCTTCTGGCCGAGGCGGGCCTCGGCCACGCACGAGTTCCCTGAACCGGATCCGGGGACGGGCTCGAAAGCCACCGCCACCCCCGAGCCAGAACCTGGCCACCATTTGCGTCGTGACTGCACCCACGGGGTCGCGATGAGGCACCCTGACCGTGAAGGAACGGATGCAGGGCATGATCGTCGCCCATGAGCCTCCGAGGTCATCTGGACGCCCCAGGACGCAGCAGAGTTCTAGAACTCCCAGGCAAACAACAAGGACTCGCGACGGCACTGGAAGCCTCCAGGACGGCCCAAGAGGCTCCCTCCAAGATAGCTCAAGAGGCCCCCAAAACATCTGACAGGCCTCAAGGGAGACGTCAAGACAGCCAACAGCACCTCGAACGCTCGACTGCTCCATGCTTGCTGGGCCAAGAGCTGTTAGGGCTAGGATGCCGCGTGGGTCTCGAATGCGGCCCTGAGAAACCCCAGCAGTGGCCGGAGAGGAGGGTCCCCAAGCCCCGGACATCCGCCGCCTTCATTTCCCAATACGGGGCCCCCAGAAATCCCGACCCTTTTTCCCCAAGGCTGGCCTGCCGTCCCGAGGCCGAGCACCGCAAAAAACCGTCTAGGCCAGCAGTGGCCCGCCCGAGAGGGCCCTGATGGGAGTCTCGGGCAGCCCAGAGAGAGGGTCTCTCCGCAGAGGCGGAAGCAAAGGACGGCCCCAACGAGTCCGCTGGGCTGGTCTCGGCCACGCGCAAGAGTGGCCCTCGGCGAGAGTGACATCTGGCGCGCGGCGATCGGGAAGCGGCGGGGGGGGGAACCCACGCGCGCGAGCCACCGATGTCGCATCGCATTCAGCGATCAGGGGGCCCCGATGGGTCCGCAACACACGTCACTCTGGCGAGGGGGCACTCTTACGTGAGCGACGAAGATTAGCGGGCCGCACGCACGATAACATGGCGACCTTTCGCGGTGGCTTCCTCGGGCCGGCAGCGTGGCACGCTACATTGGAAACGAGGCCGTTTACGCGCGATTGGAAGCGCGGGCGGCTTACGCGCGAATGCCGGCACAATGGAGCCCGTTTTGCTGCGTCGCTCACGCGTAGGCGTTGGAGATCCTCTCGGGAGGCGCACGCGGGCGGGAGGCGGCCGTGGAGTCTGAGAACCCAGGGAAAATCGGTCCAGCGGCGAGGCCAACGCCCAATCGGGTCAGAATCTGTCCCCGGACCCCCCCTGGGGCTCATCTGCTGAGCGTAGCGCGGGGGGTCCTAGCGAGGTGGCCCAAGTAGTGCAGTTGTAGCTAGCGCAACTGGCTCCGCAAGTAGCTCACAGATACCGTACGTAGATCACAAAAAAAACTCAAAACTAGCGTAACCGGATCATGAGTAGCGTAAGCCATTGAGCCAGTTACTACGTGCCCCCTATAGGTAGGTTTAACTGGCGCAACTAGTTATGACAGAGATGCGCTAGCTACACTGAGTGGCAGAACTGGGAATACACCGCATAGGCCACTTACGCGTGTTACAGGACCACGTTTATAGCAGCGCAAACGCAGCGCATGCGCGTTGATCACAATTGAGCGGCGCACGCTTTCGTCTAGCAAGGTTGCAGGCTGAAGAAGGCCACATCAACGCCCATTTCTGTCATGAGGCGACTGCGCCGTGATAGAGTATCGCAGACCGACCCATCCGAGCTGACTCGAAGTAGGGATATACGACAGCTGAAGTACGACTAGCACTACTCCTATCAATGCTGCGACCTACAGGTTCACGATGGTTTCTGTTTACGTGCACATATACGGCTAACACTTGTTGCGACGAGTACTTGTACTACTACGACTACTCTACTACCATGCGAGGGTGTTGATGCTTTCCCCTAACCCTTCCGATACGACCGCTGCATGAGAAGACCATTGTACCACGGTGCACGTCTATTGCGTGTGGTATTGTGCACGCATCCCTGGGACAGCAAGTATGTTGCTCTGCTCCTCTCTACCCTTCCCTGCCTTCTACTATACGCCAATGGTGCACCGCCGAAAGCGTCGAACGCGTGCAGCATGACATCTACGGCACTCTCAAGGAGTACGGGGTCAACCAACCCGCCCCCCCCCCTGATCTTCGGGTGGCGCGACCATGCAATTACTGAAGGGTCCCTGGGACACACACACACACAAAAAAAAAAAAAATATACCCAAGTAACAGGATTCCCCATCTTTTCCAATATGTTCTGGGCCCTTGTCTTCCCCCCCGCTCCCCATAGTTTCCCCTCTGTCCTGGGGAACCCACGACACGAACCGTGCCCGTGTGTGCTTTCTCCCTCCCGGACTCCGCTGCCGAGGCTGCAGGGCCTCTGGAGAGGCACGCGCAGGCACGGGGGGCGTCTCGCGGGGCGCGCGCCTCTGCGCGGCACGGGCACGGGGCAGGCGCTCATCCCTCCCGCGCGCCCGTGCTGGTGCGACGCCGCTGCATTGGCGGTGTCTTTGAGCGGGTGCCGACCGTCGCGGCATTCCCGCGGTCCTACCACGAAATGTTCCGAGAACCCCCAAAAACGCTCTAAGGACAAAAACAGTGTTCTTAGAACATGAACCCGATGTGCTAAAGCAAGACAGTCTCAACGAGAAATGCTCCGAGAACAGCTCGTGGAAGCAACAAAAGGTTCTTTGAACACTGTTTGGTAGGGCTATAGGCGGGCCAGGACGCTTCGCCACTGCTTGAGTTTCAGCATGGCCGAGGCAGGCCCATCGCCGGCGAGATGCCGCCCCCCTCTCACAAGCGCTGCGCCCAGGCGCTGTCGTTCACCGAGCACCGGATCAAGGAGTCCCACAGCCACCTGCCGCCGAGCGAAGACGGAGAGATTCGCATTCTTAGCGCGAACCCTCGCAACCCGGTCAGGTCGACCCGCTGCGTGCTTGTGTTTTCTGCTGGCCCACAGATATAGATGATGTCGACTTGGGCGCCGATGAGAAGCTTGACCTACACAAGATTAGGACGAAGCGCCCCGCGCTTGCAACTGCTGCGGATGAGGGCTTGAATGGGGCGTGCTGGTCTGGTAGGCTGAATGCGCCTGCAGTGGGATTACCGACCTGCTCCAGGACCCCATGAAATTTCCGACCTATGAGTTTGAGTGCTCTCTGTATCTTGTCTGCTATCGGCCACCCTCGTCTGCGCCATTGTCAATGCCGCGGACGATTGGGACCGCGTGCCCTTTAGGAGGCTGGGAATGCGGGGCAGAACGTTGCCAAGGAAGAGACGAGATGGAAGACTGGTTCAAGACGAACGACCAGGTGCACGAGCACATCGCGGCGCTTGAGAATGCGAAGAAGGATGGCGACGACATTGACACCGATATCGCGCGGAAGAAGGCAGTTCGCTCAACGGGAAAGAACAGATCCAGAGTTCCTAGACGAGCTGTCGGAATTGGCGAAGTTCCCGAGGAAGCTCGGGGATAGACCAGACGCACCAAATTTGAAAGAGTAGCGTTCGTCATGACGCTCAAGCCAGAAGCCGCGCGGCGTGCAGGGCAATGTCCAGGCGGCGGTGGCCGAAGCAATGCACGGCTCAAATGGGAACGGCTGCAGTCCTTTCCGCGTCAACTGCATCAAGGCCATGATCATCGCCGATGGCAGATGCGCCCTGGGCGACATGCAGAACTTGCTCGCTACAGCGGACTCCGGGACCAAACTCGCCCACCGCAAGGATGTGCAGCGCATGATTGCGCAGGCCGACGTCACGACACCGATGGCGACTGACGTCACGAGGGACGCCGAGCTTAAAATAAACGACGCGGCCGCCCAGACATTGAGCGACACGGCATGAGGAAGCCTGGCCCCGAGAGTCAAACAAAAGTGGAGTCGCTTCGACATGTCGGCTTGCCTGCGTTCAGGACCTGGGTACTATTGCTTGTGGATGCCACGACAATGGACACTCTAACAGTCCTATCATCGAATTGAAAACGTGTTTAAAACGTCTGGAAATGTTCTGGAAATGTTGAAAGCATGTTTTACATCATCTAAGCAGTTTTAACACATGTTCTAGACATCTGGACATGATTTGGCACCATGCTTCCTCTCCATTGATCGTCCTCCACAATACTATTGCAGGCAAGCAGATCGACTCGCCGCGGGCAAGGCCAGGGGTTGCCGACGAGGCGCCCGCGCCGAGTCTTGCGGCCCAATCCTAAGTCAGCGCAATTCGTGGGCGGAGTGGCCGGCTGGATGTCGCCATGGAGTGCCGTGGGCGTGGGCGCCGATGCGCTGACCGATGCCGTTACCAAGGGCACCCACAAAG